GCTGGAGTCTCACTCCATTGCCCAGGCTGGAGTGCGGTGGCACACTCACAGCCACCCCAGCATCGACCTGCTGGGCTCAGGTGATCCTTCCGCTTCAGCCTTCCAAGTAGCTGGAACTACAGGTATGCACTATCCACACCTGGCTAATTTATTTTTTATTTTTTATTGTAGAGATGAGATCTTGCCAAGTTGTCCAGGCTGTTCTTGAACATGTGGGCTCAGGCAGTCTCCTCACCTCGGCCTACCAAATTGCTGGGATTACAGACTTGAGGCACAACAAGTCTGTTTTTGAGTTGGAGTCTCACTCTGTTGCCCAGACTGGAGTGCAGTTGCACACTTATGGCCACTGCAGCCTCGACCAGCTGGGCTCAGGCAATCCTTCTGCCTCAGCCTTTCAAGAAGCTGGAACCACAGGCACATGCCACCATGCCTGGCTAATTTTTTTCTTTTTTTTAAGTGAGAAAGAATTTATTGAGAGGACAGAAAAGCTCCCACAGTGGGAGAGGTTGCCCAAAGGGGTTGCCCAAATTTTTTTATGTATTGTAGAGTCAAGGTCCCACCTTGTTGCCCAGGCTGGTCTTGAACCCCTGGGCTCAGGCAGTCTTCTCTTCTGTTTTTCAGAGTGCTGGGATTACAGGCAAGGGCCACTGCACCCGGCCAAAAATCATTAATCTTATTCTTTGTGTAGTAAGAAGTACTTTCTATTAATGACTTCTTTCATCCTTTTATTTTTTGAATCTTTGAGGTTTGCTTATAAAATCATGCTTTAAATTAATTTCAAAGATTTGTTTAATACTTAATTTGTGTTCACATATTTGTACTTGTCATACTTTTTGCCTTAAGTACCCCTGATGATAAAGGAAAATGACTTTACCACTTAGGAAACTGAGGATTTACACTGAATTGGCTTGCTTAAAGTAAAAAACAGATTTGAAATTTATTTTATTTTAAACTCGCATGATTTTTATCTTCTCCATATCTGTGTTTTCTTAAAAATAAAATGTTTTAAACTGCTAGTTAAATAATTTACCTTGTCTTCTCCCCCTAAATTTTGGGAGTAAATTTGAAGGTCTGGGATGATGTGCCTCCCGAAGCTTCATATACCCTCTGGCACACTCATGAATAGCTCTGTGGGTAAGGGTGCCTTAGAGTGAAGAACAAGATGGTTCTGCTAGTTACTTTAAGTTCACTGTTTTTTCCTCCCTCCTTCCCTCCTCTGCGCCTTCTTTTCCTAAATTCAATTTTTAAAGAAATGACATTTAAATCTGGGTTCAGCATATTAATTTCATTGTGTCTATTTAAAATGATGAACTGAAAAAATACTTAATTGCCATCTTTTTATGTTTTAGTTTTAATCATGGTAATACATATGTGTAGTAACAAATCCAGCAGTAAAGAAATTATAAAAAGCAACACTGTCTTTCTTATTCCTCTGCTCCTCCCATTTTCATTCCTGAGATGTAGCCTCTTAACCATTTTTTATTTTTATTGTGAGTCCTTTTGGGAAGTAATTCTATAATTCTAAGAAAATCACAATGTAGAATGTCCTAAGAGTAAGGAAAGGATTCCTAAGGGAAGGAAGATATATTTGTACAGTCTACTATCTTGACATGGAAGTCTCCTTTTAAAAAGTACTTTCTATGGCTCAAAACAGCTAAGAAACTAAGAAAGTTAAAAAATGTATGCCACAACCTGATTCTGTCTGACTTGTTTTCTTACTCATGCCTTAGTTTTTCTTTAGCTACTTTCTGGCCTACCTATACCTCTTAAAATTCATAAGCTTTATATCCAAGTTGCTCTTCATTTCTCCATACTAATTTTTTTCTTTTATTGCTAGTAAAGTAGTCATTTTTTCTCTTAATAGTAGGATAGTAAAGTCAGTTTTCTGCCAAGGAATGGCAGAAATTCTTGATATTTGATTATTGGCATTTTCAAAAACAACCAGTTGAACACCCAGCAACTACATAGTTTGTGTTGTTCCCCCTGAGTTTGATGACCAGTTGTCCCAATAGGATTTAATCATAAAATAGCCATAAGTCTTCCTGCAATTGAGAGAAAAGAAGAGGGAGCAACTACTATATTGACAAGTCACAGGTCATTTCTTGTGTGGGAGGCATCACTGAAGTCCTTTTATGTATAGCATCTAAAGTAATACACAATGCAGTACTATAAACCTGATTGCCAGTTTTTTTTCCTTTAGTCCTTCTTCATCAAGAGTGTTTTGATAGGTAGTTTTATACTTCCTGGCATGGAGTCTTAAATTAGAAACATTTCCTTCTAGTGTAGTTACTTTCTTATTTTCATAGTATGTGTCTGAAATCACAGACTGTACTTCCAAATGTTTTTATTTTCTTTAAAAAACACTCTTATTTTTTACTTTTAAAACAATTTTTTATGATATAGCAATCAATCTTGGCAGAATCTATTAATTTAGTATTGTAAGTTTTATTTTTCCAGAGATTCTATACTTCTTGGTTCATATGTCCTCTAATAATAATAAAAGCAGTTGGCCTCTATGCCTGTAGTTACAGCTACTTGGTAGACTGAGATGGGAGGATCCCTTAAACAGGTATCAACGCCAGCAAAAGCACCCTAGGAATACCCTCATCTCTTAAAAGAAAAAAAAAAAAGAAAAAAAAAACAGTAATGTTTAAGTCAAATGATAAACTTAAAATTATCATTAATTTTTTGAAAGGGTAAAAAAAGTACCTCTGTATTCTGGACTTTGAGGAGAAATTGGTAAAACCATTTAAGTATTAGAACGTTATGTTGAGCCGGGCTCGGAGGCTCAGCCTGTAATCCCGCACTTTGGGAGGCTGAGGTGAGTGGATTGCCTGAGCCCGCGGGTTTGAGACCCACCTGGGCAACTTGGCAAGACCTCATCTCTACGATAAATCAAAAATTAGCCGGGCGTGGTAGCACGCACCTGTAGTTCCAGCTACTTGGAAGGCTTAGGTGGAAGGATCGCTGGAGCCCAGCAGGTCGAGGCTGCGGTGGCCAGGAGCGGCCACTGCACTCCAGTCTGGGCAACAGCGTGAGACTCCAACTCAAAAAAAAAAAAAAAAGGAATGTATGTTAAGACATGCAACAGTAATATTGGAAACTGTTGATTATCAAATGTTAGTAAGAACAAAGAAAAAGAATACACATTTAATCTGACAGTTCCTGTTAAAAGAACTGTCATTTGAAAGATTAAGTAGTAATTGTGCCACTTTTAGTAACCACTTGGAATGCTAATATTTTATTCATCTTTCCTTTTTTCTGAAATAACCAAATTTGTTAAACTCAGTTTGACTGCAATTTCATATAATTGCATGTGCATGCTGTATCTATAAGCTGAGTAACTTCAAACAGTAAAACAAAATTGTATTACAGCACAAGTATTTGCATTGATTTGGAAGGTAAGTAAAATCTCATTGGAATCACTGAAGGAGAATATTGATGTGCTTTAATGTGGAATTGTTTGCGTGTATATTAGATTATGCCTGTGTCTGCAAGATTCCTTTTTTTTTTTTAATATATGGAGTACACTTCAGGATTAGGTATAAAAGTGGTCATCATACAGGTAAAGTTTAGGCCACCCTTTGGTCCCCACTTTGCCTGATTTGAGATCAGGTACCCTTATTGATGTTACGCGCCCTCCCCCCCACATCCCCTGTCAGTTTCCAGGTACTGCCAATCCCTTTCTTAGAGTATTATGGTAAATATTCAGGGTCCACTTATGAGTGAGAACATGTGGCACTCAGTTCTTTGTTTCTGTGTTAGATCACTGACTCTGAATCCGTCCAAATTGTTGCAAAGTCCATAATTTTGTTCTTCTTTATGGCTGTGTAATAGTCTACTGTGTATATGCACCACATTTTTTATTATCCAGTCCAGTTTCCATGGGCAGCACGGTTGGTTCCATATTTTTGCTCTTGTGAATGGTGCTACAATAAACATGCGTGCACAGGAATCTTTTTTGTAGAGTCATTTAAGTTCCTCTGGGTATATTCCCAAAAGGGGGATTGCTGGGTCATATGAAAGGTCAATTTCTAGTTCTTTTAGAAATCTCCACACTGTTTTCCATAGAGATTGCACTAGTTTGTATTCCCACCAGCAGTGTAGAAGTATTCCCTTTTCTCCATATCCTTGCCAGCATCTGTTACTTTTTATTAATGTTGGCCATTCTTGATTCTCTACTGATGATTTGCATCTTGTGACTTAGTGTTGATTAAAGATTTGTATAACTTTTTAAATGCTAGTGACTTTAGTATTCTAAGGTAAAATACTGAGAGAATGCTGACTAACTGCAGAGGGTTCAGAAAGTAAAACAATAGATTGCATTTTTTTCTTTGTGATTTCTTGACTAGAAAATTTCTAACAGTTTGCATCAATTTAATTAAGTAGTTATTGTACTTGAAATTTAAATATGTTTCATAATAAAAAATGTAGTTTTATATGTAGATATAAGGCCACGTGATAACTGAAGAGTCTCAGAAGTAAGGTGTTGCTTTTATTTAATTGTTTGTTTATTTTATAAATAGAGATGAGATCTTGCTGTGTTGCCCAGACTGGGCTCAAACTCTTGGGCTCAAGCCATCCTCCCCCCTCAGCCTCCCAAAGTACTGAAATTACAGGCGTGAGCCACCACACCTGGCCAAGGTGTTGCTTTTAATTAAAATTGACACCTCATGATATTCTTTTAAAAAAAAGGATGTCATGTTTCTAGTAAAATTGTGGACTGATTTGCAGGCAGATATTGTATCTTTTTATCCTATATGTACAATAGATAAGTCAATATTTAAAAAATGAGGGACAAATTGAGAAAAAAAGGAGAGATTACTATCCAAAAATGATTTTTGTCTTACTTTAATTATTTTCTTACCTTCCCTATACTTTCATAATCTTAATCTTATTTTTTGTGTATGCTTATTTATAGTTACTTTAGATTTATGTAAAGGCAGAAAGAAATACATTGAAAATACTACTTTAATAATACTTTATTTTCTTTTTGTTAGTTTCTTCACTAGTTGAAGAAGGAGAAAAACAGAACAAACGTTTTAGGCCATCAAAAATGTCTTGCAGAGAATCTGCCCCGTTGACTGCTTCCTCACCACCAGTAAGCCAGGAGTCACTGGCAGTTAAAGAGAAGTTTATCCCACCTGAGCTCAGTATCTGGGACTATTTCATAGCCAAGGTAATAAAAAGCGCTATCCAGACCAGTATTTTCATAGTCAAATGGAAATGAAACTGTTTAAAATAAGTGTAATTACTTTGCTTCCAGACGTTTTCTCATTCTGGTTTAGAGCATTTTCATTTGTATCAGGCTACATTTCAAAAAAAAAAACACCCCAGAATATTTTGACCAAATTTCCTGCCAGTTTCTAAGGCAGTTTTTTGATAAATTACGACTTTTGTGTTTCAAGCAAAACTAGGCTCTTGAATAAGAAGAGAACTTGCTTAACGTATTCATATTAATGTACTTGATTTGATTAAGGAATCAAAGTGCCTTATCATCTGTCATCCATATACTTTTTACACTATAGGCAGGCCTTTATTGTTTTGAAAGGCATAAATTTCAATTACCAGAGTTTTTAAACTAGTAACATAAACTAGTAAGTTAAATAACATCAGTCCCTCAATTACTTGGTTCAAATTTCAGTTATCACAGTATCTCAAACATGGGTAATTGCATAAAGAATAAATGTCTTTGCTAGCTCTTCATTTCTAGAAATCACTCTGTAATAACAGATGCATGCTTCATTATTAGTGACCAATCATGTCAGTTTTTTTCAGTCTGTCAGTGATTGATCATTTAGCACCTGCTATTCAAGCCATACATATGTAGTTTTGCTTCCGTATTTCGTATAATAAACCCATATGATACCTTACAAAATTAGATTTAATCAGAAGAGGAAATTGGCTAACTAAGATGAAAGTGCTACTTAAAAAAAACTGATAGTACTGAATGAAATTCAAATCAAACATAGAGTTAAAGAAAAAAATAACTAACTGTAGCAATTTAACACTGCTGCCATTTGAAAGACTCTAGAAGATGTACAGCCAGAAGAATTTAGTGAAGATCAACATATAAACATAAATGTAAAATGTAGTTGTGATGAAAGAATGAATATGTTCTAGAGACAGTGACCTTGGCAAAAAAAAACTTTGCAATGAAAAAACTCAAACATTGAACATCCAAAGAATAAAATGCTGAAAGCTGATATAAACTTAGAAGTCTAACAATTGGTTAAGGAATAGAAAAGATGTTTGCTTTACATCCTAAGTTATAGAGCTAGAAGAAAGCAATCTTTATTAAGACTACATTTTTTTACAAAAACATAAAACAGTTCCCAATATTTCTAATATTTTATTTTTTATTTTTTTTTGAGTTGGAGTCTCACTCTGTCGCCCAGACTGGAGTGCAGTGGCCGCTCCTGGTCACCGCAGCCTCGGCCTGCTGGGCTCCGGCGATCCTTCCGCCTCAGCCTTCCGAGTAGCCGGAATTACAGGCATGCGTCACCACGCCCAGCTGATTTTTTGATTTATTGTAGAGATGAGGTCTCGCTGCCCAGGCGGGTCTTGAACCCGCGGGCTCAGGCAATTCACTCACCTCAGCCTCCCAAAGGCATGGGATTACAGGCTGAGCCACCGAGCCCAGCTATTTCTAATATTTTAATTACAGTATGCTAAATATTAGTTCTACTATTTTAAAATTTTTCCATATACATTTATAGCAGGTGGTAAGAGAGATTTTAGTGTTTTGATAAATATTTTTAAAGGTCACAGAACATTTGTGATTTCTCCTGTTTTTTATTCATGTTGCTTTGGTTGGTTTCTGCTTGCATGGTCATTTTTACAGTCACGCATTACTGTTCTTAAAGGACTGCCTAGATGTATTATCTGTGTATCATGTGATCAGCCAAATTCCTCACATTCTCAACTTTTGGATGTTTTTCCCCCTCCTTCCATTAATTGAAATCTAACTTTTCTTTGGTGACACCAATCCCTCTGGCTTGTTAAGCTGTGGTTTTTATTTTTCTAGTCTTCTAAGTGCTTCAGGGTAATGAAGGGAGTTTATGTCTGCTAGTTCCTCACTGCCATTTGCAGAGTCATTCATTCATCATTCATTCAACACATGTTTATTAAGCGCTTCATTTCTCTGGGAATATCTTTATTTTGCCTTCATTTTTTAAAGGCTAGTTTTGCTGATTGTTGGTTAGCAAGGCCATTTTTAACTTTCTTGTTTCTGAATCTTTTTGTTAAATTTCTGTGCTCTGTCCTTGCCCCAGTTAGTAAGTATCACAGCCTCAGGATAGTTGAGATGTTAGCCTTCCTTAATTGTTTGCTACTGAGATCTGTATTGCTTTTGAAAATGCCCGTTGGCACAAAATTTTGTTTGTTTTTTTTTTGAGTTGGAGTCTCACTCTGTCGCCCAGACTGGAGTGCAGTGGCCGCTCCCAGCCACCGCAGCCTCGACCTGCTGGGCTCCGGCGATCCTTCCGCCTCAGCCTTCCAAGTAGCCGGAATTACAGGCATGCGCTACCACGCCCGGCTGATTTTTTGATTTATTGTAGAGATGAGGTCTCGCTGCCCAGGCGGGTCTTGAACCCGCGGGCTCAGGCAGTCCACTCACCTCAGCCTCCCAAAGGCGCGGGATTACAGGCTGAGCCACCGAACCCGGCGGCACAAAATTTTAAAGACAGTCCCCTCTGGCAGGGCATCAGAACTATTAGTCCTCACAGCCTGCTCTGTTGGCCTGGTAGACCTTTTATACCAGAGAGCTTGGTGTTGGATGGGAGCAGCTCTTGACCAAATTATCACTGTTTTACTGTTTTGATTCAGTAGGTTTTCTTAAATAATTGCTTTTCTGTGTGTTAAATGCATTTTGTCATTTTCCATTGGTTGTTTTTAACACTTTGTTTTGTTGTTGCTCTTTGGGGACAGGACTTAACTCTTTAGGGAGAGGATTTGGCAAGATACTCAGTTTTTCCAGAAGTTCCACCCTCTCTACTGTTTCTTTATTGGACTTCCTTAGATGTAAGATCTTACAACTATTTTTTTAAACTTCCCACATCTCCGCTTCCATCTTACTTTTACTCTTAACTGATGACCTCACCTTAAAAGTCACCAAGGAAAATAGAATCAGACAAAAATTCTTTCATCATCCCATTGTAAAATTATACACTTGTTCCTGTCATTCCTTTCTGTTATAATGGAAGAGTCCTGCTTATCAAAGACCATTTCCTCAAGTTCTGTTCTGAATCCCATTCTCACTTGTCTTCTCTACTCTCCTATGTTTTCAAGTTCTCTCTTTCTCTATATTCTTCTCATCGGTACATCAGTGTGCTTCAGTATCTTCAATTCAAACCTCTGCTTTGACCCCCAAATTTTTTCTAGCCAGTATTTCATTTATCTACTCCCTGTTTGCATTCAGTTTTTCAAAAGCACACACATATTTCCTTTTACTGTCTTATTTCCCTTTCATACTTATTCATAATACAGCTTCTGACCGAGTTACTCTATTGAAACTGTTCTTGTTGAAATTCAGGTAATATCCATATCAAATATAACTGAAACAGTTTTATTATTATCTTTTCTGACCTCTTAGCATTATTAACACACTTGACTACTCCCTCTGTTAAATGGTTTTTTGTTCTCTCGATGCCAGTTTCTCCTGTTTTTTTCTTCTTTTTTTGCTATTATTTTAAAGATATGAGGAACAATTCAGGATTAGGTACATAAATGATCAATGAACAGGTGAAATTTGGGCCTCCTGTTGGTCCTCACTTTGCCTGTTTAGGATCAGGTACCCTCATTGATGTTATGTGTCATTCCCCGCCACCTCCCCGCCTCCCCGGCAATCCTTTTCTTGTAGTATATGGTAAATGTTCAGGATCCACTTATGCGTAAGAACATGTGGTACTCAGTTCTTTGTTTCTGTGATAGATCACTGAGTACAATAGACTCTAAATTCATCCAAGTTGCTGCAAAGTCCATAATTTTGTCCTTCCTTATGGCTGCATAATATCCCATCGTGTATATGTACCACATTTTTTTTTTTTTTTTAATCCAGTCCAGTTTCAGTGGGCATTATGGTTGGTTCCATGTTTTTGCTATTGTGAATAGTGCTGCAGTAAACATGTGTGTACAGGTATCTTTTTTTTTTTTTTTTTTAAGAATGTTTTGAGTTCTGGGTATATTCTCAGAAGGGGAATTGCTGGGTCAAATGGAAGGTCGATTTTTAGATCTTTTAGAAATTGCCATACTGTTTTTCACAGAGGCCATACTAGTTTACATTCTTACCAACAGTGTAGAAGCATTCCCTTTTCTCTGCATCCTCTCCAGCATCTGTTGTTTTTTGAGTTATTGATGATAGCCATTCTGACTGGAGTTAGGTGGTATCTCAGTGTGGTTTTGATTTGCACTTCTTTGATTAGTGAAGCTGAGCATTTTTTCATGTGTCTATTCGCTGCTTGTATGTCTTCTTTTGAAAAGTGTCTGTTCATGTCTTTTGCCCACTTTTTTTTTTTTTTGAGTTGGAGTCTCACTCTGTCACCCAGACTGGAGTGCAGTGGCTGCTCCCAGCTACTGCAGCTTCGACTTGCTGGGCTCCAGCGATCCTTCTGCCTCAGCCTTACAAGTAGCCAGAACTACAGGTGCGCGCTACCACGCCTGGCTAATTTTTTTGATTTATTGTAGAGATGAGGTCTCACCAAGTTGCCCAGGCATGTCTCGAGCCCACGGGCTCAGGCAATTCACTGACCTCGACCTCCCAAAGCGCGGGATTACAGGCTGAGCCACCGAGCCTGGCCTTTTGCCCACTTTTTAACAGGGCTTTTTGTTTTTCTGTTTTGGCACGTTTGAGTTCCTTGTAGATCCTGGATATTAGGCCTTTGTCAAATATACAGTTGGCAAATATTTTTTCCCATTCTGAGGGTTTTCTCCCCACTCTCTTAATGGTTTCTTTTGCTTTGCAGAAGCTTTTAGTTTGATGAGGTCCCACTTAGTCTATCTTTTATCTCTTATGGCTTGAACTTTTGATCTTTTTTCTTAAGCTTACTGTTTATTCTTTTTTTTTATTTTTTATTTTAAAGGTGTGGGGTACAATTCAGGATTAGGTATACAAATGGTCGTTGTACTGCTGTTTATTGTTTCATAATTTCCTTTCTTCTTTTTCTACTTCACCCATGAATTTGGTCTTCTTCAAGATTTGGGCATACTATATTTATTTTCCCCAGTATCTCCTCTCTCAGATCCAAGTCCTTGTATTTTACTAAATCACATCTTCATTATTATAGTTCCTCAAGCAAGAAACCAGGAGTCATTCATTTTACTCCATTTGTGCTTGCTCTTAAATCTGTCAGTGCTTTCTCCAAAATATATCTTGAATATGTTATTCTCTCTAGCTTCATTACTAATAACTATATCCTAACTACCAACTCTTTTTTTTTCTTTTAAGAGACAGTATCTGAAGTGCAGTGACATGATGGTAGCATCACACTCTGACTCAAGCCATCCTCACACCTTAATCTCCTAAGTAGCTAGAACTACAGGCATGCATCACCATGCCTGGCTAATTTTAAAACTTTTTGTGTGGAGATGGGATCTTGCTTTTGTCCACTCTGATCTCAAACTCCTGGCCTCAAGCAATTCTCATACCTTGGCCTCCCAAAATGCTGAAATAACACAAGTGAGCACTGCCTGGTTAAGGCTGCCAGCTTTTGCTTTAGTTACTGATGTCTCCATTTCTACTTTTGCCATTTAACTTTATTTCTCATAAGAGAGTGGTCATAGTGTAGTTTTTAACATATAAATCTGAATACCTGTCCTCTACCTAAAACTTACTAGTGACTTTTTTTTTTTGAGTCAGAGGCTCACTCTCAGTCTGTTGCCCAGGCTGGAGAGCAGTGACATGCTCATAGTCACCACCTCATCCTCAGGGAGATCCTTCTGCCCAGCTTTCCAAGTAACTGGAACTACAGGTGCGCATTACCATGCAAGGCTAATTTTTTTTTTTAATAGAGATGAGGTCTTGTCATGTTGCCCAGGGTGGTCTCGAACCCCTGGGCTCAGACAATCCTTTCGCCTCCTCCTCCAGAAGTGCTGAGATTACAGGCGTGAGCCACTGGGTCTGGCCTAGTGGCATTTTATTGGAGTCCTTTACTGTGGCCTACAAGACCCTATCATCTGCTGTTCAATCTTTCTGCTAATAAACTTATCCCCTTGTTCAACAGGCTCAGTCTAACTAATTTTTTTATACCAAACTTTTTCTCATATTAAAGCCTTTCTAATTTCCACTGCCTAAAATACTTTTCTCCCTTCTTGTTATATACCTTGTTTTCCTTTTGTCTTTAGGTTTCAATTAAATATCACTTTTTTTTTTGGAACTGGAGTCTCACTCTGTCACCCAGGCTGGAGTGTAGTGGCATGTTGACAGCTACCGCAGCCTTGACCTACTGGGCTCAGATGATTCTTCTGCCTCAGCCTTCCAAGTAGCTGGAACTACAGGCACCTGCCACCATGCCTGGCTAATTTTTTGATTTATCGTAGAGGTCTCACCAAGTTGTCCAGGCTGGTCTCAAACTTGTGGGCTCATGCAGCCCTTTTACCTCAGCCTAACAAAGTGCTGGGATTATAGGCGTGAGCCATCGTGCCCGGCCTAAGTACCACTTTTCAAAGAGGCCTTCCATGATCACCTTATCTCAGTTCTCCTTTTTGTTTTCCATCTTAACTTTTTTTCTTTCTTTCATTTTTGAGTTGGAGACTCACTCTGTTGCCCAGGCTGGAGTGCAGTGGCAGGCTCATGGCCACTGCAGCCTTGACCTGCTGGGTTTAGGCGATCCTTCCACCGCATCTTCTTTTCTTTATAGGATTTAAAATAATTTGTATTTAGCTTTCTGTTATTTATCTTTCTTTTCCACTAAAATGTAAATTCTATGAGGACAGTCACTCTGTCTTAAATTCTTATAAGAAGTACACTTTTGGGCACACAGTGGATACTTAATGAATTTTTTGTTGAATGGATGAATAAATAAGGGAATTGTATAAGGTGAAGTCAAAGGCATGGAACGACAACAGTTACTTTTCTTTTGTTAAAATCACCTTCTCTGTCTTTCCCCTCCTCCACTTTTATGACTGCTCATCAAATCCAAATGTTGAAAAGTTCTTGTTTTTAGAAATGATTTCTTTTGCTTTTTCCTCTTTTTTTTTTTTTAAAGCAGGATTTCTTGAGAGGACAGAAAAGCTCCCACAGTGGGAGGGGACCTGAAGGAGTTACCCTTCTCTTTTTTTTATTGAGACGGACTCTTACTCTGTTGCCCAGGCTGGAGTGCACTGGCACAATCACAGCTCAACACAGTCTTGACTTCCTGAGTTCAGGCGATCATCCTGCCTTAGCCCCCTTACTAGCTGGGACTACAGGCACACACCACTACACCTGGCTATTTTTAAATTTTTTGTAGAGAGGAGGTCTTTCTGTGTTGCCTCAAGTGATCTTGAACTCCTGGGCTCAAACAACCTTTCCACCTCAACCTCCCAAAGTGTTGGGATTACAGGCATGAGTCACTGCACCTGGTCAGTAGTTACTCTCTTATAATGAATCATCTGCAAATGGGATGAATTGTTGACATTAGAGTATATATTTGAATGTTTTAAATCAGATCGTTCCTTGATAAATTTCATGATTTCTTTATTTTAGCCTTTTCTACCTCCTTCCCAAAGTAGAGCAGAATATGACTCAGAGGAGAGTCTGGAAAGTGATGAAGATGATGAAGATGATGATAGTGTTTTAGCATCAGATTTCCATTTCCAAGAACATTCTAATCCAAATTCATATAGGTATGGAATATTTTATTTTAAGCTTCCTGTAAGAAATCATCATGGTTTATATAAATATTTTTTTAAATAATATATGTGAGATTAATAGGTTTGGTGAATTTACAACACTTTATAACTCAAATTTCTTTAATTGAAATTGTTATATTCCATTCCTTAACAGTAATTTCTCAGTTACCTTTATTTGTGAGTGCGTCATCTGTATTTGTACCATTTCTCACATGTCTTGCTCTCAGACTCTGCCTTGCCTTTTGGACTCCCAAGATAAATGACTTCCATTGTTTAGCCTAGAAAATCTAATGTTTTGAGTAGAACACTAGTACTAAGATGTCAATAAGCACTATCTTTAAAAAAAGGCTCTGTATATTATAAAAATCATAATATTTCAAAGTGTTCATTTCCAGCCCCAATACTGCATTATTCTTACTTTCATGAGTGGTAGGATTATGTCTCATTTCTATTGATATGCTGTTGTCTTCTCTGTATTGATATGTTTACATCTAAAAAGTATATATGTTTTATGAAAACATGATATGTTAATGGTGTGATAAAAAATATAAATTTTCAGAAGTCCTTCTTCATTATTCTTTATGGTTACTCTAATATTCCGTAGTTCAAAACATGGTATTCAACCAGTACTCTCCTGATGAACACTTTGGTTATTTCTACTCTTCTCCTATTATAGATAATGCTGACATGAGTAACTGCATGCATATATTATTTTGTATTGTGGAGGAATATCTTCAGGGTAGATTCCTATTAGTGGAATTATTGAGTCAAACGGTGTTGTACTCATAGATCTTTAACAGATCCTTTGTTGCCTTATTTTTAGTTGGTCATTGATGCGATTGGCGATGGTGCAATTGGTGCTTAACAATTTGAAGACTTTCTATCCATTTGCAGGTCATGATGTTGCAGGTAATAAATATTTTAACATGAACTAATGGTGCCATTGCTTTTGACTTACTAATCTTTTTTTTTTAATCAGTGGAGAAAAGTTTAGTGGTTTCCTCTTGTAGAAGATATAGATTTCTTTTAACTAAATCAACCATCTGTAAATGTGTCTGCTATACTGTTTGATACTCAAAGAAATCAGAGGCACTGAACCTGATGTAAAGAAAGGAGCATGATAGTATACCAAGTGACCAAGTGGTTTAGCTGTGAACTGTATTTACACACACACACACACACACACACACACACACACACACACAGAGACACACAATATGGTAAGCACTAAAATACCGATTTAACCAAAATTTTTATGAGACTATATTGTAATGATGGAGAGGGGAGAAGTTTATTTTCATATGCCATAGTAGTAAATCAGTAGATCATTGCCAAAATTGAAAAATCAAGAACTCATAGTATAAGCATGTTCTTTAGACATGGGTAGATAAGTAGCAGGAATAGCTAAAAGTTGAAAGTGGAATTAGGACTCAAGAATATGAAGGGGTAGAAAAGCGCTGAGTTTCATGGCAAATATTGATTTTTTTTTTACTTTGTGTATAATTTTCATTTTCTAAACAAATCTTAAAGAGTCATATGCCATATAGAAATTGAGCTAATCCAAGTTTTAAAATAATTAATTTTGCCAGCCTCGGTGGCTCAGCCTGTAATCCCGCGCCTTTGGGCGGCTGAGGTGAGTGGATTGCCTGAGCCCACGGGTTCAACCCGCCTGGGCAGGCAAGACCTCATCTCTACAATAAAATCAAAAAATTAGCCGGGCATGGTAGCGTGTGCCTGTAATTCCGGCTACTCAGAAGGCTGAGGCAGAAGGATCACTGGAGCCCAGCAGGTCTAGGCTGCGGTGGCCGAGAGCGGCCACTGCACTCCAGTCTGGGCGACAGAGTGAGACTCCAACTCAAAATAAATAAATAAAAAAATAAAATAAAATAATTAATTTTCCTCCCACACGTTTTCATAATCTTCAGGTACATTTTTAATGTGAAATTAAAGTCAGAAGCTGTAATGCTGAAATGCTCATACAGATTTATGACATACCATTTCTAATCTACCTGATTTCTATGGCCACCTCTCCTTTCACATCTCTCCTGTCAAAGTGTGTGTTAATATGTTATCTTAGTCTTTCTTACAACTGAATATAGTATCTTACTGGAGAGTATAAATGTGGGTCAATTTTCTCTTTTAGAGCTTCCAGTTAGTTCACCTCTTTGCCATGCTGTTCTAAAAACTCTTCAGTGTTGGCAACAAGTACTTCTCCGACGACTTGAAATCCATGGTGGGCCACCTCAAAACTATATTGCAAGTCATACATCTGAAGAGAGTTTGTCTGCAGGTCCCGCAATTCTCCGACACAAAGCTTTACTGGAACCCACAAACACTCCTTTCAAGTAGGTTTTCCTATTGATACTATTTTTAAGGTAGGAGTTGTACAAAATATTTAAGGCCTATGTTTATTTTGCTACTCTAGGCTCAAATCTGTGCCAGTATGTAATGCCTATGGAGGTCCAGAGGTTAGCAAATTTTCTTGGTCCTGATAGTAGATATTTTAGGCTTTTTGGGCCATATGTCCTTGTCACAACAACTCAACCCTGCCATTGTAGAGCCAAAGCAACCATTAAAAAAATATGCTTGGTTGTGGTGCAGAACAATTTATTTTTGAAAATGGAAGTTAAGCTGGGTTTGGCCTGTAGAGTGTAGCTTATTGATACGTGCTCTAGAGCAGTGCTATTCAGAATAATCCAGTCAGCAATTGCTTTACTGTCCAGGAGGAGAGAAAGTTTGAACCAAAAGGTAAATCATTGCAATGGTTGCTTCATCTAGAAAGTCTTGCCACAAAAAATATTAAGTGTACTAAATGATGTGCTTAGTGGCTTAGTGTTATAGTTGATGTATGTTCTTGTGGAAGCTCTTAACTCACTGCTGCTCATGAACAAAGTTTTTGATTGTGTCCATGAGCAGCACATTGAGTAGCTCTGCTTCTAGATGTCTTCTAGGAGGCATACCTCTTTTTGTTAGATCCTATGACTCTAGGTTAGGGATTGGCAAACTATGGCCAGCCCCATGTGCCAAATTCTATTTTCCTCTTGTTTTGTAAATAACATTTTATTGGCTTACAGCCATATCTGCCATTTGCTTATTACCCATGGCCACTTTCCCACTACAGGTTGATCATCTCTAATCCAAAAATCCAAAATGCTCCAAAATTTTTTGAGTGCCAACATGATACCACAAGTGGAAAATTCCACGCTTAAATACTTAATACAAACTTTGTTTCATGCACATTATTTAAAATATTGCAATTATTTTTACCTTTAGACTATAAATATAAGATGTTCATGAAATAAAAATAAATCTTGTGGTTGGACTTGGATTCCATCTCCAGAACACCTCATTTTGCATATTTAAAGATTCCAAAATATGAAAAAACAGGAAATTCAAAACACCTCTGGTTCCTAGCATTTCAGATAAGGGTTACTCAACCTGTACAATATCAGAGTTGAGTCATTGTGACAGAAACCATGTGGCCCACAAAGGCTAAAATATTTACTGATCCTTTAAGAAAAGTTTACAGACTACTGCCCCAGATTATATGGTCTGATTCTAGTTAATTTATTATAATAATCATTCATATCGCACCAAGGAATTGTGATCAAGTTAATTAGAAATTTCTGAAGTGTATAATTAAATTTACTATCTCTCCATAGATCCAAACATCATCTGGCACTGTCTGTGAAGAGGCTTTGGCAGTATTTGGTGAAACAGGAAGAAATTCAAGAAACCTTTATTAGAAATATATTCACAAAGAAACGGTGTCTAAATGAGGTCTGTATAAGTTAAAAACTGTTTACTTTTTTTTTTTTGTTGAAGTCATATTATCATGCAAACATTAAAAATGAGTTTCATTTTGCAGATATTTTGAAAATGCCTTCGTATGTCATAAACATATACAGTTAATGCTAAAAAGACGGGCAGTATTATATACATCAATTTAATTCAGAGTAATTAATTCAGATTTATTTGGGGCTTATTTTTCAAAAGGTTATTGTTTGAGTTAAGGTTCTGTATCTTGTTTCCTGTATTTTATGTTGTAATGATCATCAATTTAAGAGACAAGTTAGAAATTTCCTACAATTTTCATGTGATAGTTTTAGAAGTTAAATTGAAACTGAGTTTATATACTGAAAATATCTTAATTTGCACTTTCTTCTGTAGTTTATGTTTAAATTAGTGAAATTTTGCTAACTGAAACAAATTTATAATTATACTGTAACTGGTTGATGATATATGCTTCAATTTTATCATCATAATGGGTTTTTTTTTTTGGTCATTGAGGCTAGTGTGAAAAATAAGTATCAGTTTGATCATATGTGGAACTTGCTCCCTTCATTGAGAGTGCTTTGCTACTAAAAAAAAATACCAGGTGAGGCCAGGCATGGTGGCTCACACCTGTAATCCCAGCCCTCTGGGAAGCCAAGGCAGGAGGATTGGTTGAGCCCAGGAATTTGAGGCTGCAGTGAGCTATGATTACACCACTGCACTCCAGCCTGGGTGACAGACCAAGACGCTGACTTAAAAATATTTATATATATTAGGAGAAATAAACAGTAGATGTAGTTGATTACCCTCTACCCGTAACCAAGGGCTCAAAACTGGCAGCCAGTCTGTGGATCTCACTTTGGGTAGCACTGAATTAGTCCGAGGGCAAGCTTTGTGCAGTTTTGGAAGTGGAAGGAAAAACTGAAGATATTAATTTAAAAATTTTGAATAACTTCACAATAGACAAGTAAACAAAAAGCAAGATGACATCTAACCTTGTCAATTCAGGAATATAATCGTTCAGGAAATAGAGTCATATAATCAAGCCACAATGCACAGAAATAGCAGATAATAAGTACAACTACACACGTATTGATTTCTCTGTTATTTTATTCTTAATTTTCTTTGGAGTTCCATAATATCTTAAATAAATTATCAAATTATTCCTTATTGTGACTATTTTAATTAAAATCATAAACATAATTGTTGGACTTATAGGTTTGTAACTACCAGTAAACTATATATTTTCTTTGAATTTTGTTTTTTTATCTGCAAAATGACTCTAATACCGTTTACTTTGTAGTGTTTTGATCAGTAGATTTAAGTTATTTGAACCCTGCCACAATTAGTGGTAGTGATTAGAAATTTGTTGTTATTGCTTTGTTGTTTTATTCTTGATGGTCATTCTTAAAAATAGTGACTTTTAGAGGGAATATGAAAAAAAATTCATATAGTAAAATACAGATTGGATGAAATTAAACAGAATCTTAGCTTTATAGAGCTGGCATAAAGTTAATCTTTACTGGAAAGTTGACAAAGCTATTTTTGGTATTAACACAATTACCTTTCAGCTCTTATTTTTATAAAATGATTACAATGCTTAAATATGTGAGTCCAAGTCACTGTGACTTTCCAGATGGTTAGGAGATAGATATATGACAGGCCCTATATTTTGAATAGATGATAGAGAGTATTTTGAAACTGCTGCTGTTTCTTTATTCCTTTATGTGTTTGAAAATGAAATTTTCTGGTTTCTTCATCTGACCTTAAAATCCTGATATATTCTCAGATCTTTTCTTTTCCTATATAGTGTAGCTTACTGGTACATATGTTTTAAAATAGAATGTCTTATCTATTTGTATTTATTTGGAAATTAAGTACAGATGACAACAAATAGATTAAGGCCTTCCCAGCAAAAAATTGAGATGTGACAGTCACCATCTTTGTTCCCACTTCCTTTTTCTAGTTTCTTTTATTATCTAAGAACTAAACATCTTGAGATAACTCTTTAACAAATGCTCCTATTCCCTTCTAAGAAGGATATGTACCTCCAAACAATTTATTGACTTTTTCTGGCTAAATCGGTAGAAGAGAATTAGAAATGTAGAACAATTTTCTAATCAGGAGAGTGTCCTTAGGGGTCAGATATGGAGATAAGATATAGTAGCATGTAAGAGAGCAATTCAACTTTAATTTTCAGTTGCTAGTCTCTAGAACTAGTAACTCTGAATTTTTTTAATATAAATTACTTTGTTATCAATCTTGCTTTAATGTCACCATTTCAAAATAAGTTTAGTAAAAATTTCTTAGGCACCAGAATAAAATTTATAGTAGTGGTTAATGAGTTCAGAGGAGTTATGTTTTTCTCATTCCCTAACCATGCACCCTCACACATGCTTCTTTTAAAGTATATGAGATTTGAGAATAGCAACTCAGTCCAGTCTTCTTTTCTAGTAAATTTGGTTTTAAAATATAATATTAAAAAATACCCCTAGTATTTTGCATGTTACATCTCATCTTTACTTTCTGTCATGTGGTTATTCTTGATGAAGTCATTAGAGGACAACAGTGAAACCATCAAAAGTTCTATGATGGAGGAGCCAAACATCAATAAGGTACACAATATCATTCAACTGAAATTGGAAATTGCATTCTTTCACAAAAAAAACAAAGTATTTGCATTTGAGTTTTGGAAGAGACTTTGTTTCTAATAAAATTAAAGTATTATTCCTTCAGATTATTTTCCTTTTATTTTTAGCAATTTGCTATCATATATGTGGTTTCTCTTTTATTTAAATAAGAGAATGCAATTTTAAAGGGAGTTGAATGTAACCTGTTGTGGCTACAGATTTTTCTAAGTAAATACAACCAAAGTTCCTAATAATTGTGATTACAATAGCAGTTGTAGAAGTATAATAGTATTGTTTCATTTGTGCAGGTATCCCTTTGAAGTTAAAATTATCTCCTGTAATATTTCTAAGAATATGGCAAATACTATTATATAACATTATTTTACTGGTTGGAGTAGCATGTAGTACAATGCCTAAGGATACCTAATAAGTACTGATAGTACTCGAGAATGAAAACACAAAGGCTGAGAATTTGTACAATCATGAAATAACTCCTAGATGTTCTGTGATTGCACATTCAAATATAACTTTATTAGGTTGATATTTAACTCACTTTTTAAATATTCTATATTTAAAACAATCTCAGAGGTGATTTTTAGGTGAAAACTTTCTTTAAAAAAATGTTTAGGGCCACTAATATCTACCTCTTATTCTTTCCCACAGAAATCTTTTGGCAAAATAGGAAAATAATTCTATGCAATTAATTTTACAAGTCTGGTGTATATTATAACTTTGACAAAATAAATATACATGTGATTCATATTTGAA